GGGTTGCGCGAATTTAGAGCGCGGGAGGCGGCGGGTTGTCAGCGCGAGGTGCGGGCCGCGCAGAGTGTAGATGGGCAGGGCAGAAGAAAGGTGGGAAGTCAGAGGGTTCGACCCAAGAGGTTGCATGGTCCTACGTGATTGGGGTGTTCGTTCAAGTGGTGCACGGTTTCCCGCTCTCCACATTAATCCGAGCATCCCAACTACGCAGCCAATCACTTCGCGGAGTAAGACGGGGTAAGGATCAAGCTGGGCGTAGGGGAAGACGAAGAGTTTGGCTTGAGGGAAACGCGCGCAGCAAGAAAGCAAGATGGCACGGGGATGCAAAGCAAGAAACGGGGGTGAGAGACTCGCGAAGAAATCGGAGCTTAGTCGTGCGCGCACAAAAATTCAAAAAGTCCCAACCGAAACCGTTTCTTGGTTTTCATACCGCGGCCGCTATTCGCCCGCGCGGGAGGTACTTAGCCAAAAAAAAAGAAAAAGCCGTTTCAAAAAGGAAAGCAAAAGCAAAAAGAAAGAAAAACCCCTTTTTGTTCGCATCCGTACTTCGGGGCTTCCGGGGGATTTTCCTCAGGGATACGGCAAGCCGCGCGGTACGGGTCTGAGCTTATCACATCTGTGATACGCAGGGGGTTCTGAAAAATTAGCAGTCTCCCGACTGCTGATGTCATCGTATTTTGGATGCTCGGGCGGCCTCTTCATCGTCAGCTGGCCCAAGCATCTCCTATCCTACTTCAACGCATTTCGCATCATAAGTCATCTCCCTCTTATTATACATCCGATCGAGCGGCCCCTTCATCGTCAGCTGGCCCGATCGGTAAGTAGTCCACTGATTTTATTTATTTATTTATTTATTTTTATGCACAACGCGTCTCGATGCGCGAACTTTGGGCATAGGAGATGAAGATGATGAAGAGAAAGAGGAGGAGAGAAGAGGGGAGAGGTAAACGAGGGTGATCAGAGGAAGTGATCGATGTCGGGATTGAGAGGGGGCGGAATAGGTGGAAGAAAGCGGCCATTGCCGCGACAGTCGTCGGCGCGTCTTCCTCATGGAAGTGGTGTTGGACGAACGAAGGATAGAGGAAGGCCCCCGACACATGAGACAGGACACGTGGCGCCAGATCCGCCACCGCTCGCACCACCCGCTTGCGCACCGATCGGGGTCCTGGACCCGTCATCACCACACGAGTCTCGGTGTAAGGCCGCCGCTCTTGCTTCTGTGCCGCGAAGACAAGGAAATGGTAAATCATATTGGGACGCTGCCCGGTCTCATAGATGAGCGTCCCCGCCAGTCGCGCCGCGATACACCCTTGAAAAGGGGATGTCAGATATGGCTCCCACACCGGATCAGGGCGAGGCGCCCCCGCGATGGCCTCGAGCCTGATGGTGGTGGGCTCCACCATGAAATCCACCTCTGTCGGATGGACCGTCCGACTCGGAGGAACTACTAATGTCAATGATCAGGGCATTCCAGGGTGGCAGGCGGAAGCGGAAAGGTCCCGCGAGGACGGGGGATCTGGATACGGGATCCGGTAATCCCATTCGGCTTCCTCCTGCGGCTGCTGCGGCTGATGGCCCGGCTCCATCGAGATTGAGATCGGGCACGCGCGGGAAGGGCGGCGATGGCACGATAGTCTCCTTAACGAGCGTCGCCGCACTCCCAGGCACTGGATCAAGATTCCTCGTGCGTGCGGGCTGAACCACGTCCTCGCCGCCACAGATTCTGCTGCCTTGCGCTCCTGGCGACGGGTGGCGTCTCTTCCTCTTCGGCGTCTTCTGGTGGGCCTTTGGCGGCGCCGGTCTAGAATACGACGAGGGAGGTCGCAACGGCTTTTCCTCCGGGAAGTTCTCCAAGTTCCAACCTCTCCGCGCGCTGCGTAATGTAATCTGGGATGACGACCGTGTTGTACGTTCTCCGCGGGGCAGCCGCCGTCCGCAAATCGTGGCTGGATCTCCTCTTCCTCGCTCGCGATCACTTGCCTAATGGATAGGAGCTCAAGATGTATGAGCTCCAACAATCCCGGATCGATCGTCTGGAGCTGGGCGAATGGGTACAGCGCCACCGTCCCCTCCTTCTGTGCTGGCTTGGGCCGTGTGATGACGTAATAGATGACGAAGTGCTCCCCGATGCAGTGGTCTTCGTGATCCACGAAGAATCGGAACATCCCCAACACCACCAACTTGTACAGCGCACGGTGCAACTCCCACGCGTCTTCCTCTGCGAAGGGCAGCGGCTCCACGTCAGTCAGCTCCACCAAATACTCTGAGAACTCGCGCATAGGATAAGGGCCCTCCGTGAGTTGATAGGGGAGAGTGGTGTAAGAGAAGAAGGGAGGCATTTAGTACGTGGCAGGGGGAATAGCTTGGATGTTAAGAGGGGCAGCGGGAGGAAGAAGCGCGGGGAGCTATGGCACCAACGCGATTGGTCCGTCCTCTGCCCTGCGCAACAGCGCTTCGTGAGCTGTGAATCGGTGTCCCTTCGTCCTTGCACTCTGGCCACTGATCTGGCCGCCTGCACCGCGTATTCGCGCACAAAACTCCGCGCCAGCTCCCGGCTCTGCGGCGGCAGGATCATAAAGTCTCGGATGCAGGTGGCGACGCTATGCACGAAGTTAGGTGCCACCTGGAGCGCCCGGAACTCGATGAACACTCGAGTCGTCTCCCGCCTCGGCAACTACGTCACGTCCACGTACACCCCCGCATACGTCAGCCGATCACAAAGTAACGAGTATGCCGCCAGATCAGCCACCCCGGGCGCTGGCACGTTCACCTGTTGAATGTCGTATCACAACTGCCTCTCCTCATTGAAGTGATGCCGCAACAAGCGATCTGCAAGCGGCGTCTGGAAATGCTCGAGGGGCTCATGCTCCGGCTGGCGATGGTTCATCGTGCTCTCTGAAACTCTCAGCACCAAGGGACGAGGCAGATCGGGAAGAGGAAGAAGACGAAGAAGGAGAGGAGGAGAGAGAGGACGAAGGCTCCGACGGGGCACGAGCCGATTCGCGGCCCGGAGATGGCCGAAACAACCGAAGAGCCGCCGCGTGTCGCGTAAGCGACCTGGCCTGCGTGCTATGCCGGGGACCAGCTTCACGGAGTGCTGTCCTCGTGCGCCAACTTCCGTCACTTCGTAAATGCCGGTATAGCGTGGGTGGATCTTGGAGGAGCGCGCAGATTTCCGTACCTGCACCAAGTCCCCGATTTTATAACGGGGCATTGGTCCCGCTGTCGCGTGTCGGTTCTCATAGTTTCGGATCTGCCGTTGATGCGCCAGATCTACGGCCCTTTGTCGTCTTCGGGTTAACGCGGGATAGGTCCGGGCCATCAGATCCAGGTAATGTTGGGCCTTGTCCTTATGCTGGGCCCGGGTCACTCTAACTTCCGTACCCACTAGAGGTGACAACTGCACTCTGGGGACGCTATTGATTCTCAGTTGAAACGGGGACACCCCGGTGCTCCCGTGGGGAGTAGCCCGATAGACGGCCAAAATGTGTTCGACTATGACAGGCCAGGGCCTGGTATCACCTGCCGTGATATTCCGTCTAAGTGCAGTCTTGATCATTCGGTTGGCATTCTCTACGAGCCCGTTGGCTTGAGGCCAGTGCCCTGGGGAGTATGAAATTCTAACGTCTGCCCTTACAAGATGTCGCTCTACTTCCCCCTCGAACTCGGATCCATTGTCCATATGTATCTCTTCTACGTCGAGGTGCATGCACAAAAAGCGATTAATGTACCAGGCTACTTCCTGCGAGTTCCGGCTGGTCATTGGATACACTTCGATCCATTTCGAAAAATGATCTACGGCTACAAAAAGAACATTGAGTTATCCTTGATCAACAGGGCCTCTCGGCACGTTGATGTCCGTCATATCGATACTGACCCGTTGGAAGGGGCGCTCTACCCGGGTAGGCACTATTGTACGAGGCATCTGTATCGGCGCTTTATCGGCCGCGCACGCCGGGCAAGTTCGGACAATGTATTTCACATCTTCCCGGATTCCCGACCAGTACCATCCATTTTTCTCTATTGCTTTTTCCGTGTATTTGACTGCAAAGTGGACCGCATCCTCCTCGTGGGCGGCTCGTGTCCAGCCGAACCTGGCCTGTGGGTGTGGAACCGTCAGCCAACTAGATGCGTCGACGTCATCGTCTTTTCGTTTTTGTAGGACGGATCCGTGCCAACGGTAATCGTGCGCCCGTTCCGTGACACGTCGCCGTTCAGCCTTGGTAAGTTCCGTCAGGGGATCGCCGGTCAGTCTCCGTAATAGCAGAAGATCCGTCCAGACTTCCGCTCGGCGGACGCTTGGCAAAAATCCGTCTGCCGTTTTTCCATAGGTACGTGGTCCGTTCGACAGTTGGGACAGTTCCAACTTTTTTCATTCCGATACCGGGCACAACTCCCATGGGACCGGACGATGTGACATTGACTACATTGTACCCAGCGAAGAAAGTTAGGCCCCTCGAGGGGAGGATCTCCCCCTGTCGGTATCATGGGCAAGGTGCAGAAGAAACAGATTTGGGAAGGCGTGCTCGGAGGGGAGTCAGGGTCAGGAGAGGGGGTTAAGGAATAGGGAAGGGGAGAAGGGGTGGCGGCCTCCTCATGGGAGATTGCCATCTCCGATTGCTGCAGTACCCTTGCGGAGGACATTCACCTCCCCGTAGCCGGGTTCCGTGGAAGGCGAAATCGGCTTCCACGGGATGAGTTTCTCGTTCGCGGGACTCTTGCTCGGCGGCTGGAGGCGCGTCAGACCATCGGCGTTCCCGTGCTGCCTGGTGGTGCGGTGGCGGATGTCGAAGTGGTAGTCCTGCAATCTCACCGCCCACCTTCCCAAGGTACCCGTGTAGTCCGTGTTGTTCCGCAACGATAGCAATGGTTGGTGATCCGTCACGAGCACGAACTTCTGGCCGTACAGATACGGTCGAAACTACTGAACCCCCCACACCACCGCCAAGCACTCACCCTTGCACGCCTCGTAGTTCGACTGCGCCTGACTTAGCATTTTCGACACATACTCGGTGACGTGCTCCCTTCCATCCGTTCCTTGCTAAGTCAGCACCACCGATATCGCCTGCGGCTGCCAGTCGGTATGCAGCGCAAACTGTCTTGTCGGATCGGGACGCGCCAGCACGGGTGCCGATGTCAGAGCCTCCTTGAGTGCCCGAAAGGCCGCCTTGCATTCCGGTGTCCAGATCAGTTGCTCCTCCTTCTTCAGCAGGTTCGTTAGTGGCTTGGCGAGGCAGACAAAGCTCCGAATGAAGCGTCGATAATAAGTGGCCAGCCCTAGGAGCGTGACCGGGGCCGGGGCTTCTCGAACCGCAGCTACCTTCCTGGGATCTGGTTTCAGTCCCTCGACCATGACGATGTAGCCCAAAAAGAAAATTTTGGACAGAAAGAACTCGCTTTTCTCCAGAGTCACTTTAAACCCCGCATCTTTCAAGGCATGCAACACCCATTCGACATGTTCCACATGGTACTCGTAGGTTTTGGAAAAGACCAAAATATCATCCATGTACACAATCACACAAAAATTTATCAACGGCTGTGTCAAACGGGTTTTGTTAACGAACTCGGCGAAGGCCATATTCATGGCCCACTGGAATGTTGCGGGGGCATTGCAAATTCCCATGGGACTCCGGATCCACTGCCACGTGCCCTCGAACAGGACAAAAGCGGTTTTGGGCTGGTCTTCCGGTCGGACTGCAACATGGTGAAAACCGTGTCGGATATCGAACTTCGAAAAGACCCAAGCGAACCCGATAGCATCCAGCAGATCGTCAATCCGCGGCAGCGGATAAACATCTTTGGTAGTAATAGCGTTTAATTTGCGGTAGTCAATACACACTCGAACTGAACCGTTTCGTTTTGGCACGAGGACCACGGGAAATGACCACGGTCCCAGTGATGGTTCAACCCACCCTAACTGCTCGAACTCCCGTAGCCTTTCCAAGGCCAATTGTCTTTCCTTTAGGGAATAACGGTACGGTCGGCAATGTATCGGAGCCATCACTGGTATCAATCGCGTGTTGGATCAGGTGGGTAAGTCCTATATCGTGGTCCTGCATACTGACGGCCTCTGGGTAGGCCCGTATAACTGCCAAAAGAATGCGTTTGTAGTCGCCAGGCACATGGCCCGGCAGCCGGACGTCCACGTTTCCCTCAGGGAGGGAGATCGTCGACGTAACCATGGGGACTGCCGCGTTGGCTTCGGGTGAGGCACCAAACAGAGAATTGTCGGTTTTTGCCGAAAGCACGGTCGCGATAAGTTGACTGTCTGCGGGACTTATCGGTTCATTTTCCATGTCACTGTCGTTCTCAAGCTCGGTTTCAGCCGAGGGTTCCACTGAAAAGGCCTGTATCAGTTCCTTCGGCCTCCATCGATATTCCCTCGTCCGAGGTTGAAATGGCACCCCTTCTTTCAAGAGCGGGGCGACTTTTGCGTTTGTAAGCAGGGGCCTGGGAGGCCGGAAAGTTAAATCGCACAACCCCCTGAGCTCCATAAACCTTTCGGGCAGGGGGTCCGTCCTAAGATATAAGGACGCAGGGGGTTTCGAAAGGTCAGTTATTCACGACACCCTCAGCAGGGGTTCTCCCTGCACCACTGAGGAGAACGCGTTCGACCAATCGGACTTGCTCCGAACTATTTCCAGGGGTTCTCATCGCCAGGAATGGCGCCACCGACCCTGAACCCGGATCGGATATCGGTCCGGAACGTCAGCCTCGTCAGTTTCCGACGAGGTTTCATTTTTGCCTGGTGACAGGTGTCGGATCATGTTGATTTGATGGGCTTTCGTGATGATTCGAGGCGCCGGCTCGTGGTTTGGGGTGGGCCGATGTGAGCACCACCTTACAGCTGTCACAATACATTCGCGCTCCAACCGCCGTCTGCCACGGAATGCCTAGCAGAACATCATACGCTTGTACATCCAGCAAGATTGCGTCGCACAAACAATGCACCCGCCCCACCTGTATAGGCACGTTCGTTATCCGCCCTTTACAATGAATGTTGTCTACCGTAGCGGATATATACAGTTTATCCGGTCGGAGAGGCTGAACCTGTTCTTCCCTTCCCAATCGTTTCGTCAATCTCCAAGAAATGGCGACCGCTGACGATCTCGAGTCTAGGACGGCGGCCGAGGGGTTTCCTCAGACCTCGCAGTCACACTCAACGCTTTTCCAGGTTATAGGATAGGCTCGGAGGAATACCTCGGGTTTTTCTGAGGCGGAATCTACGGTCTGGATCATTTCTATCCGGTTGGCTTCGTGCACCTTTGAGGTCGAGGGCTGTGACTCCTCGTTTGTGGGTAGGTCTCGTAGGACCGGCTTTTTGCGCTTTCTTTCCTCGAATCGACGCCAGTTTTTGAGGCATCGTTCGATCAACTTTTCGTTAGCCGCTTCGGAAATGGTTAGCAGATAGGGGATAGGGACGGGGATCCGTAGATCCAGAGCCTTCAATGCATCCAACACGTCGATGTGACCGTCTTTGTACTC